ATATTTGACTAGACCAATAAGTGTAAATTTTCCGACGATATCTGTAGCCATGTGGCATACAGCAACTTATTTACTTATTTTTAGCAAATTGCAAATTAAAGTTCCTAATAAAAAATGGAAGAAACAAAACTGTCCAGTTTGTACCTATTTCAAACTATTGCTGGCATTTGGAAATTTACAAAAAAATTCATTGTTTATAGCCATTTATAACGATACCATATTCTCGTCCTGTTTGAAATTTGCAAGACCAGTGAAATGAAAAAACATTATTTAAGCGTTCCGCCAAAAACTAATCGTACCTTCCTCTTTAGTTTTTGTTTTGTAAACTTCTATCATGCTGACCTTTTATTCGCTACTAACAAATTTATTGTCTGTTATTCAAAACCCATATCAAGTTTCTTTGATACAAATATATTAACTACAAAAAAATGAAACAAAAAAAAATATGGGAGGGGACAGGGGCAAAAGGGGTGGGAGAAAGACGTTTTGCAATATAAACCTTCCGCTGGATCACGCCACTACCTTCTCTTCTATCGACAACCAACCCAATACTTCTTTGACAACATATTTAAGCATCATCAGATCTCGCTGGATGCTTTAGTAAACGATAAGCACAATCGACATTTCCCCCCTCTCTCCCCGGAAATATCTGATTTATCTATTCATTTGTCAACAAATTTCCCCACAAAAATCAATTTATATGCCTGCAATATCGCAAGAGGGATTCAAATATTCGACAGCCCTGAAATAAAAACTATCCCCACCTGCAAAAAGTTTCCTCCTTTTGAGCAAAAAAATTATCTCAACTTGCTTTCGGTCCTGTTCAAAAATCTGAAGTATAAAATCCAAACGGCGACTCTTGCCCCCTCGAGGAAATCTTTAATTGTCATTTGGAAAAACATATAACGATAGCCATAAGTCACGCTCAGTTTTTTAAACAGTAGTGCAATTCTACTCTCCATCTATCTTAATTTTTTCCTTTGCCTAATGTCACGTTTCCTCGTAGGCTCGCAAAGTAGCTGGTTCTTATTTACATGTGGTGATATTTTTTCTTATTTAAGTCCAAAACGGATGCCGACTTCATTAAGACTATGTATGAACGTTAGGCATTGTTGTAAACTAGGGTATACACAAATGTGCTTTTAAACACTTTAAACATAGCATGCCGTCTTTCTTCTTTCGATAATAAATAAGGGAATTTTTTTAAACGTTACGCAATTGATCCGTTCCTTCAAATACTGCTAAACGTTAACACATTTCTTCAGATAAATTGAACTACTAAATGGTTGCTGCAGCACAGGTCTTAAACGGTACGAACGGAGGGCAAAATGATGCCACGGGAATGGTTAGTTGCAGAAAAATTAGGAAGAAAAAAGATACCTCTTATTAAAATAGAAACCTTATGGATGATAACATTTTTTACGTTCGTCTACGGATATCATTCGATACCAAAGTTTAAAAGATTAACAACAGTACTGCAGGAACAAATTCTCTACCTAATGGTGGTTTTTCTTATTACAGATAAAAGTGAATTCGCCATCTGTAAAGAACGACGGTACTTACTTAACATCAAGTTTTCAATACCGAAGAAACAAGATTGAACATTCGCAAGACGGCTCGCTAAGCATCACACCACAAATTCACGACTACGTATTCAAAACTCTACTAAAGCCGAAAAAAACTGGACTAATGCTGGTCGGTTTCGGCGGCAACAACGGATCAACGTTTTACGGCGCAACAATTGCAAATAAGATGAAAATGACTTGGAGAACAAAGTAAGACTTTAAAAAGCTTTAATGCATTGCGAAAAGATAGAAAAATGATGGAAATTTATGTTCATTAATATCTCAGAAGAGGAGTTCAAAACGCCAATTATTTCGGCTCGGTCACGCAATCAACTACAATCCATGTGGGATGGGACGGCAAAAAGCAAATATATGTGCCGTTCAATAAGATTTTGCCAATGGTGAATCCTGATGATCTGGTTATCGATGGATGGGACATTAATAAAGCAAATCTCTATGAAGCCGTTGTTCGAGCAAAGGTAATATTTGTATTGAAAAAATCCTCTATGCGTAAACTAATCTAACCCATGAATTCTTTAGTCACCAAATCGTTTTTACTACTAAAACAGTGCACGAATCTGTGCATGAGAATTTCTATTTATAGGTTTTTGAACCCGAATTACAAGAAAAGTTGCGTCCATATATGGAAAAAGTGGTACCACAACCATCCATTTATTATCCTGACTTCATTGCATCAAACCAGAAACTGCGAGCGAATCACGTGCTGCCAGGGACAAACAAACAAGAACATCTGGACCGCATAAGAGAAAATATTAGGGAATTTAAAAGGAAGAACAATCTTGGTAAGCTTAGTTAAATGAGTCTTATTGCAGGAGTCTAACTCTAGAAAAGAAAGAAATCGTTTTAAAAAAATTTGTCATCCTACTTCGTCCGGTCTCAAAATAATTTTAGTGAGTGCTTTGTAGATTGCGTTATTGTGCTTTGGACAGCTAACACCGAAAGATATGTGGATGTGCGGGAAGGGCTTAACACAACAGCAAATGAAATCATTGACTCTATCAAGAAAAGCGAAGAAGAAGTCTCTCCCTCAAACATATTTGCTGTTGCTGCCATTCTAGAAGGCGCTTACTACATAAATGGATCTCCGCAGAATACTCTTGTCCCAGGAATTATTGAACTTGCAGAACAGGTAAAAGAAGGGCACTCTAAAAATGTTTGAAACTATTCAAATAAAGGAATTTAGTAAATAATGAAAGAAAGCTGACGTTAAGAGAAGCTTGGATAGTCAAAAGAATCAATTTCAGCATAAGGTTTTCGTCGGTGGTGACGATTTTAAATCTGGTCAGACGAAGCTGAAATCAGCATTAGTGGAGTTCTTGGTTAGTAGCGGCTTGAAACCAGAGAGCATCGTTTCCTACAATCATTTGGGCAATAATGATGGCAAAAACCTTAGTGAACAACGTCAGTTTCGGTGAGTTCTTTAAAAAAATAACCTAGGATTCAAAACTTATAATGGCGTTGCTTAAAATTTTCTAAAATAAAACTTGTTGCCGACAAATGCCCAAAAATATAATACTTCTCAGATCAAAAGAGATTTCAAAATCATCAGTGGTTGACGACATGGTTGAGTCAAATAATATCCTTTACCCCGACGGTAAAAAACCGGATCATGTCATCGTTATCAAATATGTTCCTTTTGTTGGCGATAGTAAACGAGCAATGGATGAATACGCATGCTCGATCTTTATGGGAGGTCAACAGACGTATGCCATCCACAACACCTGTGAAGACTCCTTACTTGCTTCGCCAATAATCCTAGATTTGGCGATCGTCACCGAACTCATGAGCCGTATACAAGCAAGTTTTTTTGAAGGCTTTAGATATTATTAAAATTTAAAAACATCGACCCCCACTTTTTAAACAACCTACTTTTCAACCAACAACCATTATTACACACTTTTCAGTCAAACAACTACTCTAGTTCCACAGATTTCAAAATTTTGTTAAACCTTTCAGTACTCAACCAAATCCTCCAGCGACTACAAAGGAATGCATTCAGTCCTTTCAATACTGAGCTTTTTATTGAAGGCGCCTGTAGTCCCTCCACGAACGCCAGTTGGCAATGCTTTTATGAAACAAATTAAGTAAGCATGTTCAAGAACCTACAACCAATAGTTGCGTAATGTCCTTTTTATGTCGTAGAATACAAAAGTAAAATTTTTAGTGCGATCACCAAGCTGTTATGTGCAACGGTAGGAATCACAGCTGATAACGACTTACAGCTAGAATTCATTACTGAACTTCCACCAGCAGAGGTTAGAAAAGTTGTAAATTATAAACAGTCCCGCTATTAAAGGAGTAAACCTTATCAAGAAGTAATTACTAAAGAATAAGAAATAAACAAATTTTGTCGGGACAAATGATTTAGCAATTTTTTTAACAACAATCCTCTTTTTAGGTGGGAAAGTGAATTTGGAAAATGGACACGCACAAGATAATTGGTATCTCTGAACCTTCCCACAATGTGCAGTCCAACTCAGTTACCATTCTTTAATAAAACACCAAAAATCTCAAATAAAAGTTTTACACTATTTACTTTGTTGTGTCCCCTCACTTTGAAAAAAAGTGTGAAGCAGAATGATGATTGTATCTAAAACTTTCTGTGAACTGTAAGGAAAATCCCACATCAACAGGCAAATAAAAAAATATGTTGCAGGAAGAGAAATTTTTCTTAACTCAAAATAAAAATGCACGAGACTATAAAAAATAACCTACCTTTTTCGCTTTCTTATAATGCACTATGCCGAACTGGACTAGCTTAGTCTGCCCCTCATCAATTTTTTTACGTTTCATTTCATTTTCAATCAGTTTCCTCTTCTTCTTTCCCTGCTTCGCTGTCTCCTTCTGTAACGCCTTGACCGACGTTAACAGATCAGTTCGTTTTTCACCCTCAAATACCAACATTAAATTAATACACACATTAATCCACATATAGATGTAATGCAGTACTTTAACCCAAGTTTTAGAAGAGGCTTTCAAAGACCCATGAACCACCTATACTGGCTTGTTTAGACAATTACGCAGAAATACACCGGTGTAGCCAAAACTGACTTCTAAACTGCTAGCAAATAGCACCACTTGTGAGGCATCCCATAAAGGTTCGGCATCAGGCTCACTTGATTTAGGGCTGATTGAAAGTTCCTTGGCCACTTCCCGTATTTTTATCCACTTAAGTAGCTTAGGACCGTACTTAATCAGCTCTCGTAACTGCATGCAAACTTGACTATTGGAAGCGACCAAAATAACAGGTGCAGCTAGAAGAATTTGGTAATAAAGCTGAAGAAATTCTGGAAACTGGCTTTAGAAACGATACCAGGTGAATCGCTAGCTGTAATCCTTCCATGAATTTCTTCAAATATGCTTTTCAGAGCAGACCATTTTGGAGGTTCTGAAAAAAAAAAATAAAAAAATCAAATGACAACCAAGAAGAGCGAGAACAAATCAAATAATTACCTAAGATCACAAAGTCGTCGTCTTTCTTTAGTTTGCAGATGCTTTCAGCTTCGGAAAAAAGCTTAGAAGCAGTCTGTGTAAACAGCCAACCACTGTTATTAGTAAACTGCTGCAATATGAATTAAATGAAGTAGCAGAACCAGTTAAAAGTAAATAAAGTAAATATTGCCTTTGAAAAAGCTAGATAAATTTAAAGCTTTCTAAAACTTCAAAATGATAAGACGACTTTAGAGAATTTCTTCTATCTGCTTAGACTATACATACATCCTCCACGCAAGCCAGAAAAATACATTGTGGGTTTTACTACTTTCCATCGCTATTATTTGAACCGTTTCCATTCGGTAAGTTTAAGACTATTTAACTATAATAGATTGACAAAACACTCAAATTCATGTGGGAAAACAAGTGTCATAATTCTGAATCTACTCTCAGCTATGAAGGAAAGCACTAACATCTTTGTCTGCACGAATGGCGGCGAGATCCTTGAATACCCCTGTTGGGTCCAACTCTTCTGCCTTAAAAGCAATAAAAAAAATACTTTTTCGCAAAACCAACACCAAATAAAGTATTCCCATTATACTAAGTTGTACATTCTCTAACAGAGCAAATCATTCAGAAGCTAAATGAATCCTTACCTGAAACAGTAACTCTCGCAATTGCCTTAAATCAGCAAGCAACCTTTGTTGTTTTTCTGTGAGCAGTGAATGTTTGGCCTTCAGCTGAATTTCGAGAGGAGTTGCTGTCAAACCAGCGGAAGGACTTATAAGTTCCTCTTCGCTAGCAACCTTTAAAAATTTTTACTAGATTGAAGCCAGTTCATTATATTAAAGTCAAGAAAGGTGATAAAAGCTGGTAAAAGTTTCTAAATTTAGAGATTTCTTAAAGTTGGTTCATCGAAAATGAAGAACTGACCTCAACCGAAGAAGACTGTTTTAATTCCTTTAAGCATGTACGTATTATGTCTACCAGGGCAGACTGTATACGTCGCATTGGCAGCGGTAACTCAGAATTTAGTTCAATTAAAGTTGGCTGTAATGCTGATAGTAAGTCAAATTTACCTATGAAATCCCGCGTTAATATAAAAAAAAAGAATTAAAAAATCTAAAAAGTACAGAATATAGATCCAGGATTCGTTTCACGTCCACGTCAAACCTAGGCAAAAGTCGCACACGACGAATATAAAGCTGATTTACCAACCTTTGTAAACATCCAATAGAAGTAAAAAGGGCAGGATTATCACTGTAAAAAAAAAAAAACGTTCAAAGAAATTTACCCGGAAAAGATTAGCACCATTCAACTTACGTAAATGCTTTGACAAATCCATCCGGCTTCTTTTCACGATATAAGCGCAGAATAAACGACTCTTGATAACTGTTCAAAAGTCTAAAAAAAACCAGGTTTACAAGCAAGTAAATTTACTTCTAAAAAATATAAGATTTTGTTCGATCAAACCAAACTACTAAATCTGCAAGTTCCAACAAAAAAAAAAAATACAAATGAAGCAAAATCCTTATGACAAAAGCGCACTGGTGAGCGCGATGAACAACGATTCCTGCGACATTTTTAACAGGAACTCTATTCTGTAAGAAATCGACCATGAGTATGCGGGAAGTAATGAACTGAATGCCACCTTCCATATACAACGCCTCCCTACAAATTAAAGAAACTCCAAGTGAAGCAGCGAAGGCCTTGGTCTGGGAAAAAAATGAAGGATCTTGGAAAAACTTGAAAAGCTCAGAAAAAACTTATGGTCTTTTAAAAAAAGGTTTAGAAACTACCTGTCTTTTATAGATATATCAGACGTAATTAACTTCGGCTTACACTTTTCCGCGCGCAGTTTCGACAGAAAAAATGCCTAAAAATAGATAATTTTTTTAATAAATAAAAATATGAAAATTTCTTGAACATTGATTACCTCGTCATATTGAGTTGTATTAATCACGAAAACCAATAATTTCTGATCGGAATAAAGGTGTAGATGATGCAAAATCAGACGTTCAAGCCCTAGGCCTCTGCAAAGATAAGTGTTAAAAATTTAATTTCAAAAGGAAATTTCTGAGTAACTAACTAAGACTCCTTCCAGGTTGCTTAAAAGACAACTAAGAAGTCCTACAACTTTATCAAGAAAAGAGAAGAAAGTGTACCTAGCCAAGATGAAGAGGACATCGTCAGTGAAAGTGTCTAGGATTAGATTCCTTTCAAATTTCAGCAGCTCAATTTTGTTCCCTTCGTCACCTTCAACTTCCTCCTCATCTTCATCAACTTCTTCGTCTCCAGAAAAGAAAGGTTCTTGCTTGACCCGACTGGGAGAAATCATTGAAAAAAATACTGCTCTTGCGCTGGAAAAATAAACTATAGTGATTTTCTTTTTAAAATGACATCTCAAGGACCACCAGTCGTAAACGCGTACTCGCCCAGTACTAGCGATAAACAGACCCGCTAAACACTGTCTCTTTCTGCTCGCTCCAAGAAATTCACTTTTAGAAAACAGTGGGACAATAACATAAATGGCCTCTGACCAGATGTTTTTATATTCCAAAACCTTTTAAGAATTTGATTTACTAAGTCCTTTTCCCACAGCAGTCTGTGTGTCCGTAATAAACCTTTCCCTGAAATTCCTCGGTTCCGTTCCCCTGCGCTCATTATCCAACGACCATGAGACACTTTAACTTGAAAGATGCTTAGGAATTTTTGATGACCAGACTAAAACACTGATTAAGACAGAAACAGGAGGAATCACTGCTGCTTGATTTTTTGCTCGACAACTGTATCTGTTATATAGCCATCCCTAACTTGCACAAATGTTTTCTTGCATTTCACTGAAAGTCGACGAATTCTACGACGACTGTGAAAGATTCCTAACGGTATAAAATGCGTCCAAGTGACTGATCAAAAGAAATTTATTTATTCTGCCGTCAATTTTATCAAAAAGGTAAAAGAATGGGTCCGTATTGCTTCGGTCAATACTCAATACTCTCTTACAGGCATCATAACTGCATCATCCGCCGTCAGAAACCGTTTTTTCCAAAAGTAAGATCAATGACAAAAAACAGAATTTTATCAGAAATTAGAAGTGACGACTTCTGGTTTGGAATCTTGTCCCTTCTATGCTCCACATAGAAAGCATTTTTTGTATGTAAAAAACTTTAATTAAAATTATGAGCTCAATTATAAAGATATTTAAAAAAGGAACTGTACAAGGAAGCCGGGCTAAAAATGCGTGTTTGGAGACCTATTTGAAAAAATTGAAGAGAAAAAATCCAACAGACTATTTTTAACTATGGTTACGCAGAGGTTCAACGGCGGCGAAACTCGCTATTTGATATGTCAAGACAACTTCACTCCCCAGATCATTGGTCCACTGCTTCGCTGAGAACGCTTCTAGGTCTCCTATGAGATAAAACCAAGGTATAACTTCAAAATAATAGCCACAAAAGTACTTTTTCAAATTCTGCCAAACCCAATTCCATGTACAAGATGAGAGATCATGGCCACAAAACCCTTCACCGGTTCTTTTGGGCTTAAAAGTGATACAGAAGGTCGTAAGACTTGCCTGCAAGAGGCACACTACAGATCTTAAATTCCAAACGAATTCGCCTACATATGCCGACTCATCCACACTCCCTTCGAACCCATCCTGTTCCAACCCCTTCACCTAAGTCACCAGCGGATTAAAAAAATCAGAAATGTCCACTGAACATCAGTTCTGCCGGGCTATATTGATATCATTACAACTAGCTGAAGCAGTCAAAAACCGTATTTTGCAGCCTGAAAAGGAAGTGAAGATGGACTCCCACTTGAGAGGGAGAACCAACGATGATAACAGTTAGCCTCAGATCCTACTACGAATATGTCAAACAACAGTGCAAAATTTTTAAAGTATTTGTATTCTCTAAACAAACATCTAGTTAATTTTAGATTGCCATATAACCAAAATACCCTAAAACACAAATTGTAGCAAAAAGAATCCACTTAAATATCACAGGCCATACACTTTTATTTTCAAAACTAAACCGGCAAATAAACATCTAAAAAAAAAAAGCAGATTTTTTCTTCCCAATCTTCATGACTAGGAAATAATGTAACAAACAAGGTAGACAAATGGCTCACAAAATCATATCAGTTTTTAAGCAACATTTCAAAGAAACCCATTATTTCAAATATGTACAAATACCGCTAAAAATATAACGTTATAATCAATCTCTTTACAAGTTTTGTCGGGAAAAACAGATATTCCACAGCAAAATCAATCGATGTTCAACTGACATTAAAAAGCAAAAAATTCTAACATCTCTAAAAAACTAAAAAACTACGGCAACTAACACCAAGTTTACAAACTATTCAACAGCCACAGTTGATTACAGCAACAAAAAACTTAAAGCAGCTCTGTTGTACAAAAAAAAAAGACTTTTGAAGTCCAAAAGCGAAAGACGAGGAGATAAAGAAGACTTCTAATCCGACACTGAGATATTGACAGCGATAAGGTGCACGAAACCGTATCGTAGAAAAAGACCAACCTGTCGACTAGAGCTGTGACGCTTTGTACTGACAACAAATACTCGAAATCAACCATTTTTTGAGGCATTCCTACCTCAGCCACGAGGATTACGATAATGACATAAAACTAGACGTTAAAAGCCTTTAAAAAATTGATAGTTCGTTTTTTTAATCTGTAGGATGTGCTAAATTCCAATCCTCATCATCATCGTAATCATCATCATCGTCGCCAAATCGTCTGCGGTGTCTTCGCCGTCTCAAGCTACCAGGTGGGACTTGAACGTCATTCAAAACTCGACTCCTACCAGCTTATAACGAAATACATTAAAACTGTTAAATGAACCATTGAATTAAAGGTTCAAACAAAGGAATTAATCAATTGCCCACAAGTACGCTGCTAATTGAAAAAAATTAAAAACAAATGAAAAATATTATGCATATCAGTAAAAGTCACTTGGTTGGTGACCGCGCACGTGTCGAAATCTAACAGAATCAGTATGAGAGCTCCTTTCTTTGGTTTGATTGCGACCTTTGGTCGCTTTCTGAAAAAATACATCAACTTCAGCAGTACTTAAACGAGAGAGTAGGACAACCAAAAACAACATCGCTTTTGAGAATTGACTACTCCTCCAAAGAGTTGACTAAATGTTGGTAGAAAGAATGGAAATGAGAAAGCTTAAACAATTATTTCTCCATCTATAAAAAAACCAAAGAAAAGTCGCGAAGCTTGACAAAAAAGCTAAACAAACAGACTTTAGTCTCAGTTTTCTCAGGACGTTCCCACTCTTTCACACCTATTTCTTGTAAACGCTGAACTTCCACCAATGACATCTGCCGTCCTCGTTGTAAAAAAGTCAAGCCAGCGTCTAAAGCATCAAGCTGGAACTGAATATTCTGGAATGAACAGAACTGGCTAGCAACAAACTGAACCAATAAGTGTTTTAATGCATAACATGGGCATAAACAACCATAACAACTAAAAATACTTTATGTGAAAAAACTTATAAAAGTAAAACTGACTTCTAGATAGGATGACCGCATTAAGCTGACTTTAAGGATTCTCCCCGAGATGGCATCAATACAGTAAGCCAGTATTGCCAGATCTGAACCGTCTAGAAATGCGTTCCTTCTAGTGACAAAGTCATATGGCCTTAAAATGTTATTTTTCCAAATACTGTAGTAGCACAAGGGCTTGAGAACTTGTGAGTGAACAAAAAACGAATTAAAAAACAGCACAATCCACGTTCCCTTACCTTTCTGGATCGTCAAAAACTGGCGCGTAAAGGTCACAAAGTGCTGCAACGAAGAGCATTTGCAAGTCTGGACTGTACTCAACTCCTTTAACTGTCTGAAAAGGCATCATATTATTTACCTAAAAAGTAGAATTAGCTTTTCTACTTCAAGGTCAACAAGAAATGGAGAACTCGGAAAAAAACTTACTAAACGGTAATCAGGAACGTAATTCTGAGAAGGCACTATACGACGACCGGATCGGGACATCATGCTAATCCTAAAAACAAACACTTCGAAACAAACCGAAATTTAGTTGAATCAAAACTGTTGCGACTTACAAACACCAAAAAAAAGCAATCATTTTTGCGTACACTTGTGCAGAATTATTTAAGAAATCTTCCCCAGCCCAAATGCCAGTTCGCCACTGTTGGGTAATTTTCATTTTCCCGTCAACCCTGAAAATAATTAACCCTGACTTTAAAAAAATTCCACGAGCTTTAAATAAGCTTCTTTCCGCATAACTAAATGCATAAACAAGAGAAGAGTGAAACTAATTATTACGCTCGAAAGTCGTAAGAAACCAGCATTTGGTCTTCAAAACGCAATATTCTTCCGGATTCGTCCGCCAAGAAGAACATTGGAGTGTCCTCAATCACGAGGCATTTATTCTCAACAGGTCTATCGCAAAACCCAGGAGGCATTTCAATCTAAAGTTATCTTGGTGATAGTTTTGATGTAACCTCCTAAAAATTTCCAGGAAAGCACAATATCATATTAAATTAAACGCATAAAATATGCCCCATTCCAACCAGATTATACATCCAAAAATAATATCTCAATTTCTTACAAACACTAGCTGTAGGCTGAGACACCTGACCCGTAAAATAAAGCAATTTTTCAAGAGAGACAAGAGGAATTCAACAAAGTAAATAAACGCCAAAGATTTTTGTGTAACAGAAACTTCACTGAGAACTTCTAAATTTATTAAGCGAAAAATAATACTTAGATTTCGCAGAAGGGTAATATTTCCCAGTTTTAAATAGAGCAAAATACAAGAATGAGATCCGTAAGACAGATATGTAGACGATAAAAGTTTTCGAAGAAAATGACGTGTTACTGAAAAATCCTAAATGAGCTCCATTAAGGTAAAGTGAACAGTGTCATGAACAGACAATCAAGAAATACAAAAATCCTAATTCCGGAAGAAAAATTAAAACGGACATTTGCATCAAGAGATAAGCAACTTAGTAAAAGCCTATACAGATACATATTGAGGTTGAACAATACATTTCGGTCTGAGAGTTTTCTGTTAGTAAGTGTTACTAGCTTTCGCTCTTTATATAGGGACTAAACTTTAGCGAACTGTTTTTAACGACCTTCCTTCCGTTGATCTAATGAGGATGGATATCTGTACAAACCAAGAGGTACAAAAAAA